AAATAATAGAAGGGATAAATATTCAAAGAGATGGCCTCTGAGAAAGTTCTAGAATTGTTGAGAAATATGAGGCTTCCCAGAATAATTAATAAATAATAAATGTTTGGGAAATTCTGAGAAGTCACAAACAATAAAAAGTTATAAAACAAGTCAAGGAGGAAAAAGTAGTTGTGGCACAATACTCGTGATACCAGGGTGAAACAGAGACAAAGGCAGAGACAGACACAGACACAGACAGATCTGCCACAGATACAGCCAATGTGGGTCTCTGGCCATGGAGACTGCTAGACTATAATGCACTGCTACTACCAAGATTATCTCCAACTCTCTCTTCCTCTGAGTATCAGCTCTCTAAGATCAATGCTAAAGTTAGTGGTACCCATTTAGTTAAAACTTGGTCCTGTACTTGTGTTACAACTATAAGGAAGTAACTGCTTCCTGAGAGGAAAGCTCAGCTTGCCTTCAGCCAAAACACTACAATGATATAGGAAAGGGTAATTTCCAAGATGAAGAACTTGAATGCTGCCAAATGTTTGACCGATGTAGGTTGCCTTTGTCGATTCACAACTTCTTCTCCCTCCATTTTCGCTACATGTTTACAGTAAAAAAATGTCACCATTCATCAACAGAACTTCAGAGTGAGAGAATCACCAGCATTCTCTTTCCAGCATCCAGGACAAAGCTGAGATTGGTATGAGATTTACTAAAGATTAGAATTTTTATAGTGGTCGTACAGAGTACACAGTGTAATACCAACAGCTTCTGAACTATCCCACATAAATATATGTCCCAATTCTTAGTACATTCGATTTTCCATAATGCACTACGCATTGAGTAGCCTATAATTAGCCAATTTATTTTTCATTATTCTGAAATCTAGAAAGTCCAACATCAAAATGATTCTGCATTCAGTGTCTAGCAAGAGCCAGCTTTCTCAAAGATGGCATCTACTAGCTGTGCACTCCTAGGGAAGAAGAAGGTCTTTTGGGTTTCTTTCATAAGGATTTTTGGTTTCCTTTTGACTGCTTTAGCCTGGTAGGAAGAATTCAACATGCAAATTTTGGGAGGACCCAAGCATTCAGACCACCTCAGTGGATTCCCACATAGATGTCTCCATCCTAACCCTTGAAATCCTAGTGCTCTAGCCAAGCCTGACTCAGGGAAGCTACTAAATCCATATCTCTCAAATCTGATTTTTCACAGGAGAACATGTAGACGTCTCCCTGTTCCAAGTGGCCCACTTTAAAGAGGAAGGGATGCTCCTAGAAAAGCCATCCAGAGTGGAACCACATTACATAGTCCTGGAACAGCCCACCTTTTCCCCAATGGGAGTTTTCCTGAAAATAATCCCTGCTGCTCGGCACTTCATCCGCATCACCTGCACCACACTGCTCTACCATCACATCCATTCTAAGGAAATCAAATTCCACCTTTACCTGGTCCCCAGCGACTGCACCATACAGCAGGTAACACTATGAACCAGTACTTGTGAAATGCAGCCAAGAGAACTACTCAGTAGATCCTCAACTAGACGAAAGATGGAAAACCCTAAATTTTAGTGAAAATTCATGCCCTGTGGTCACCCACAGAGCAGTCCTGTGACAACACTGGTCTCACTAATCTGCACTCACTAGAAAACCTTTTGTAGCCTCTATCCAGCACTTGAAAGGATCGGAAGGCTACATGCCCATAACTATAGATTGCTGACAAAAAAAAAAAAAAAAAGAACAAACCAAGGGGCCAGGGAGATGGCTCAGTAGAATAAGCGCTTGCCTGGCAAGTGCAAGGGCCTGAGTTCAATCCCTGGTTCTGCCAAAAAA